AAGTATGTGACCACATTATCTATTCTTGAGACGCTGCTAACAATAATTTTGGTTTATTTTTCTGCAATTACAAAGACATGTGGGGTATTGATGATATACAACCTTCAGTATAAAGATTGATTTTATTTGTTAATTTATATTATTAGGAAAAAAATTGGCCAGGAAAACGTTTTTTTGAAGAAATATGTCAGATAAATAAATTTTATATTAGTTGAAAACATATTTTTTTTGGTAAATCATTGAGAAAAGAATTAATATTCAAGGTATATGTGCCGAGGTAAGAATGTAAGATACCAATATAGGCATGGATAGGTGTATTTTAATTATTCTCTATTTTAATGCCCACTAAGTCATAACTGATTCATGCCCTTGGGAGACAATATTACCTCAAACTTTGATATTCTTAGACATTTTAAGAAGCAAAGGGTATATGGATAGCTGTTCTTCCCCCCTAAACCATTTTCAATACCAATCATGTTCATTTGACCTAAGAAAGCAAAGGAATCACAAGATTTGAAACCAACGTGAATCTTCAATATATAATATATTATGCAGAATGGATGAATTATAATAAAGTTTTGTGTGCCTGAGAGGGAAAGAGAGAGAGAGAGAGCGAGAAAGAGTTTGGAAGCATCTGACATCATGCAGGGTGTGAAACTTAATTAAACCCATTTGAACTCAAATGGGACAGTCAAAAAAATTGAAGCTTTGGATAATGGTAAATTAGTTCGTTCAGATCTTCCAAGATGGGGATGGATGAAAAAAACTCCAAGGGAAGGAAAATCAATCTCTTGGTTTTTAGGTGATGGTGCAATCTATAAGTTTCAAATTTTTTCTTTGTTCATCTGATAATAGGTTATGGAGAACATATAATATGGGTGGCCATTCCATATTTACAATATTTTTTTTAATAACATAATTCTTTTTCTTTTTCTTTTTTTTACATTAAATAAAAGGTTATATAACAAGGAACAATTATTTCATTTTTAAATTTTCACCTATCTCAAAGTTTAAATTTAAGATTTTTAATTTAAAATTTCAAATTCTTAATACCTTGAAATATTCTTTTAAAGGCACTTCAATAACACCATGTTTCAAATCATTAATAAGAGATGAGCCTATTATCTCATTAGGGTTTAAAGAATGGAGTTGTCACAACTTCTTTTCCATAATCAAAATCAAAATAGCATAAATTAAATGTCATGAAAGTAGTTCTACCTGTTTATAATATGATGAAAAAGAAGGGAATGGGTGGATGGGAATTGGGAAGCCATGTGCAAGTAATTAGAGTAGAATTTTTTGTTAATTAGATCTTCCAATTGCTTTTCTTTTAGTGTTAGCTGGTCTCAATATCAGACAATAATACAATCATGTGATTGTGTCATTTATTAGTGGACTCTCTTCTGTGGAAACAATTCTAAAAACTATAAAAAAAAAAGAAAAAAGGAAGAGGGTAATGGAAGATTGATTAAGATATAATTGAGACTGTGATTAGAGTTAAAGTTGCTATAATGCTTAATTACAATCAATTTAAAAGGGCCAAAGAGATAACACAACCCTCCTCTAGTCAATAAATGGGTATGTCTGGAACCCACAAACAAAATGTTCTCTCCACTAAATGGTGGGCATTCAAGTGCGAAGTGATTCGGTAACCTTTTCATCTACACATTATGTGGATCTCATTACCCATTATTTCACTTGCTCCACTAAACAAAAATGTTTTTAATATTTCAGAAGTTGGTATATACAGAATTTGAATCTCAACTTTAAAATCAGGATTTTAAAATTGGAATTTATTGAAATGCCGCAACAAGAACTTTAATTAGTCAATGCACTCACATTTTTTCTTAGAGTTGATTTCCATGGTAGCGAAGAAGACTTAGAAGAGGATGTGCTTCAGTCAATCAACTCCAATCATTCCACCCTTGCTTTTCTCAATTAAGCAGAACTCCAACGTTG